GGGCCCCGCCGGGAATGAGATGCAGATTGCCAGAGGCCACTTCAGCCGCTAGAGGGAGTGAATTTTTAATAACACCGTGCCCGTATCCGCGGCCCCGCGCACGTTTCTCCACGTAGAATCCCATTGTCTTGGCTGCGTCTCGCACGCGCTGGCAAAAGGACGAGAGTCGTACGATGCGTAACGGAAAGAGCACCCGGTATTATTATAGGAGGAGAATTGTCAGCGACAAGACACGCTACCGCGAGAGACCACAGCGGGTAGAACGTAGAACGTCGCTTTCGTCGACGTTAAATAAAGCTTAACGCACTAGCTCTTAACGGTGGTATAGTCGGGATAATGGTATGATAGAAATACTGCTAGGAACACGGGGCCAATTCAACAAGCTCACGCCTACGTTCATGCACTATCATTCTTTTTCAAGTTTATTTGCTTGTTCCCTTTTTATCGACAATTCTTCTTTCTTTCTTTCGTTTGCTATCGCAGAACGAGTAGTTTACTTATAATGGAGTTCAGCTTGTGTAGGTTTTACCGTATACGGTTTTTCCTCGCTTTTGTATCGTATGTTTTGAAAAACATTGGTAAATAGCCGAAAATAAGAACAGTATCTTGTGACAAATTTCTGTCGACGCTTCGACACTGCGCTATCTTAATAGAATAAAAAATAAGAATCGATCCTGGTCTACTCTTATGCAGATTTTTCCTATACTATAATCGATCTCGCAGGCGAAATCTAGCAAGGGTCAGCGAGACGAAGAGTCGGCTAAATCCATAGACGAGAACAGTCCAGCATTAAATAAGTTCCTACAAGATGTTCTGAAGGCTCAAACCGATTTAAAGTGGATAGATCAAGCACTGCGTGATGTTGATCGCGAGAAGGATTGGAGGAAGTGAGTTGTGACTAATGAAAATCACTAATCGATATTTAATACCTCACGAATAATGAATTAAACGTCTGTGAAGGAACAGTCGAAATGTTAATAAGTTACGCGAGAAAAGAGGCTCTAGCGAGAGCTACGAAACTACACGGCAGTTGAATAGAAATACGTACAGAGATGAAAATCCTCTAGAATTTTCCCAGAGATTGCGCTTTGGCAATGACATGACGTTCAAGAGGAACGTCGATTTCGATGACGTGGATGCGTACGAAAAGGGGTATTGTATTTTTGTTATTAAAATATTCTAACAAGGAGAACCCGGTGAATGATAAAAATCATGCCATGTCTTGAGAGTTACAAATCCGAATGAACAATTTTTTGAAAATATCACTTTCTTAAGTAATTTTCTTAAGAAGCTGATTTCTTCGACGAAATTTTCTCGCAGACTCGTAGACCTCGAGACACAGAGCAATTTTTATTTCGACCACTTCTGGTATCTTTTGTCGATTTATAAGCGTTTACATAGAAGAACCCGCTAAATAGATCGGATAAAAGGGTTGATTTCTCCCTTAAAATAAAAGACGAACGTTTGCGCGAAGTTTCGTGAAAATCGGTGTGTATCAGTCACTGGGGTCTCCTCGTGAATATGAACGGTCCTGTATTAGAAGCATCTGCACGATTCTTGTAGAAAGAAAAGAAAAGAGGTTCACCTTTCTCCCGCCTATGACAAAGAAACGATAGACAATCAGATTCGGAAAAATTGGTCCAAGACGAAGGATCTTTGTTCTCTGAGCGACTGGCTGAACTCGTACAAAAACTCCGGAAACGAAAAGGATAAATTTGAGGATCGATGGATCCACGATTACGACGCCAGTCAAAGAAACAGACTTAGTACGATCTAATTTCCATGTATTTGGTTATCCTGAAAGGTTCCACGGGTTTAAGACGTTCAAGCCGAGAGAACGCGAATGTGAATTTGAATGTAGAGTTGTAACGTTTTTATTTAAAATTTGCTCATCTGCTAAAAGTCAACCAGTCACTGTTTTAAACGAAAATGTGTTACTTTAAGTTGTAATCTCTTTGAAAAGTGTGTACCTAAAATGTGTCGCAAAAAGTAAGCGATGACGAGTATACTGGTTTTGTTTTTTAATTTTATTACTGACAGAGCTCGTCATAGTACAAAACATTGTCATTTCTTCGTGACGAAAAATAGCCAACTGATTAAAATGACAGACGGCAGAAGCTAGGACAATTTTCAGGATAATCTACTAACGATTTTGACTTCAAACACCTGAAACGATAAAAAATTGAATAGATTCTTTGGACGGTGACAAAGAAGCAAGCACAGAGGCGGGTAGCGCGTTGATCGTGAGAAATCAACGAGCCGAAACGAAGGAGAACGAGGCGACGTCGCTGGAATCTCTCAGAGAAACGATATTAGAACTGAAAAAAAGCCTGAACGAAACTGACAAAAAACAGCGCGAGAATTCCAAAAATTTGGATACTTGGAGTGTTAAAGAAAAGCAGAGCAACAAGCAGGAACAGAAGAAGCGAACTGCTGGTGGAAGAAACAACTACCAAAAAAGTGAAAACGACGACGAAAGTATAAAAACGCGTTTTAATTTAATAAACACGTGCTTGAGAAGCAGGTAAAAAGAAAGTTAGCTTGAAATGTTGCATCTTTTCAGGAAACTTCGGCTGGTGGGAAAGTCTAGGAGCAGAAAGGTTGAATTTAAAAAAGCGTGAGCCAAGCACCGAGGATCTTGATGAGAAGAATGCTCATCTGAAAGTGTGGAGAACGAAGAGGACTGGAGTTAATAACGACGATGGTAACCCGAAACTCTTTCATAGAGCGGGGTTTGGGGACCCGTACCTTGAAGAGGACACGCTAAAAGAGCTTCATGACCGTAAAAGACGTAGCAAAGGAACGCCGTCAGATGAGAAACGTCATTTAAACGAAGCTCAGGATGGAAACAAGTCGGCAGCTGATGAGAAAAATTCCATAAAAATATCAAAGACATCTGGCTGCGGCGTCGCGGATGCTTCCGGTAAAATAGAATCTTTGTCGAATGATTTGCAAGCAAGGAACGCTTTCGAACGTGAGAGCGAATTAACGAATAATCCGGCAGATACCGCGGCTTCCGACGTCTCAAAGGCGGCCACGGATGAGAGTAAAAACACGGAAACAGGCGGAAATTGCGAACAATCGGATCTATCGCGGGAAAATCAGAACGCGATGGAAAACAAGTTGATGAAGAACAAAGAAAAGGGTGAAAGTCCCGAGGGAAATTCTTTGCAAACCTTCGAATCCACGTCGAATGAACTGCAGGCTGCTTCGTCTACCGAAACCTCGAATCAAGAAAATGTCGGCTCGAGCAAGGGAGAACAGGTGATCAAAGTCTTTGAACCTCAGAGGCATTTGCGCGAAAACAACGAACGAAGAAAAGAAGTCGAAGAAACCGACGACGAGCACGAAGAATTGTCTCCGCAGGTGAAGAGGTCTGCCAAAGATTCAGGAAATATTAATATCCTGGTCAAGTCAGAAAACAAGAATCTGATCGAGTTCAGTAACGCGGATGGCGATAAAAAATTACCGAACGGTGGTCAATCGCCGTTTGTGTTGAATATAGTTGACGTGAAGAAGAAGACGATCGTGGAGAACGAGCAGGCAGGTGGAAAATCAGTTTCGATGCTTTACAACATGAAGTTACACGAATCACAGGTCGATAAGCCTGTCGAAGGTGCGAATAAACGAGATGCAGAGCCGAGAAACGACGAAGTTCCGGTTGGTAGCGTGGTGCTTGATTTTCGGAAGAATAAACTTAAGGAAGTGCCATACGAAGACACGCCCGCGTCTACGAACACGATGAAAGAAAGGAACGTGGATGAGAAACGACTTGAGAACTCTGCAGACCTCGACAAAGGATCTGAACAAAGCGGCGTCAATGAAGAAGGAACTCGAAACTGGTTCGGAGAGGCAGCTCGTAATCAGATGGCTATGAACGTCGATCACGGTGCAGCTGAGAAATGTAATGACCTAGGCGGAAAGGATAAATTTACGAACGCAGAGGGGCGGTTTAACGATAATAAAGAGAAGGGAGACTCCGTTCAGGGATCTAATAAGGAGGCAGAGCCGAACGGAGAGAATAAAGAAGGAAGAAATAAGAAATATAGAGAAATATTCATAATGACCAATGGAATGGATGATAGGATAATGAATGATAAATATGGTCAGAGACGAATATTGCAGTATATGGAGTACTCTAACGACGACGTCGAAGATGCCGATGTGAATTACAGCGACAAAGAGGAAGAGGAAAATCAACATCAGGCTGCTGCAGGTAAAATTGTCGTCGAGCTTTTATTTCGTACTTTTGTCGTTACGTATATTTATTTTTTCGCTTAGTTTCTATAATTGTCAAGTTTCAAAAAGTTTGAAAAAATTGATGAACTATGAACTTCTTTAAAATCTATTTATACGACAAAATAACACGTACGTTAATTTGATTACGATTTTTCCGTAATATTTGTACAACCTCCTGTAACGAGCCAAATCATTGAACGTGGATCGACTCGGTCGACCGAGAAGTATCTAACGTAAACGCTGTTTAAACGAAAAGGAAATTGATACTAGAGAAAGAAAAACAGGAATTAAACGTTTGTGGATTATTTTCAGAGAAAAACGATGCAGCAACACGAAGGAAAGAACGAGCCGCGTACAGCGACAAAAAGAAAGATAAAGTGAATCTGTTGATTAAAGAGAAAATCGACAAAAAGAAAAAACCTCGCCAGAGAAAAAGACGTAATCCAAGTGTAATCGAATACTACGATTACGATAGCAACCTCGAGCAACAGGATCACGAATCGTTGTCACCGACAAGCGAGCAACAGCGAAGTAAAAACAATTATCAAGACAAGAGCGCCATCGAATCCGACGCGGGACCTGGTAATCACGCGTGCACTTCCCCATCGAAAAACTAACGACAAAACTGCTAAAATCTTATGTAGTAAAGTTTCGCCAGATTTCCAATAATCCACTCAAATCATCGATTCGATATCACCGGGTTAGGCTATGAGTTAAGGTGAATGCGTGTTTTGACGAATATGTCGCAGCAATTAAACCACAGGAGAATATAGTAAATCGAACTTTTCATGTTCACGGAGGGAAAATTTTTAAATTGAATATGTTGTCAGGAGTTTTATATAGCAAACTGCACTCTCTTTATACGATTTTAATATCAAATATATGTAAATCTCACAGATATCTCTTTTGTATAATATATTTGTTGTATTTTTATCAATACAAAGAGATGCAAGCTGAGTATCTAATAACAGATTTTTACGTAGCGTTTACCTACATACATTTCAGACGTTTTATTCGTCACAGAGCACGCATTCGCTGTAGCCATAGTCGCAGACGAATCACGCGAGAGCTCATGCCTCTTTTCGTCATATCGTAGTCGTAGACGGGGAGAACAGCGAAAGATGTAAACCACCTATGACGGAAATCAAGAACGAGCAAGACGAGGCGATACGGAAGGAGATAAAACAGAAGGAAAAATCGGGGAACAGGGTGCCGGTACAGCAATTCCTTAATCCGGCTGGAATAGAAAGGAACGTAACGAAGAAATCAGCGGCGACGACATCGACGAAAGCTAAATTTGGGAAACAGGGAGGATCCTCCAGCAACCAACGACTGGGATCAAGGTGAAGACAACGCGAACAGCATTAGTCGCGAGAGGTCAGCGGTAAATTCTCGAACGAAAAATAGTACAATCTATCAAATAAATGACACTGACCTGCGTGATCGTGATATTGGTGTATAGCTGCGCGAGAAACTTTTAAGCTCAAGTAGTGAACTTAGTATGTGGATAGGTTAAACGAACCGGTGGAGGGAAACGAAGACAAGTTTTTAGACGCTGACACGAATAACGAGATGATGCTAAATCCGGCAAAGTATATTCTCAAAGTGGATACAAATTCGGATCCCGGGGCAATCGACGACTTCTGCGATGATATCCAATATCTGGATGAAAAGTATGCTATCCTAATTGGCCCTAGAAATTTCTTCGTCTCGGTATCGTTTAGCTTTGATTTTAGTCGTCTGAACGCTTCGTTACAGCATTCGTTCTGTACAGTATTCTCCGTTATAAATATTTTACTCTCGTGTCCGCTAGAAAAGAAATAGCGCCTGACAACGTGGAACCACTGTACGAAGAGTTAAAAAAAATATACGACTGGAACGAGGACGAGACAAAAGTAAAACCTCGAATAAAGGGAGATCAGAGGACGTATCAGGAATCTTACGACAAAGTAGATCCCATCGATAGAGTAGCGGGCGAACCGTTTAAAGATCAAGTCGAGCCTCCGCAAGTTCACGATGATTCAACTAAAACATTCGGTAAACGTTGCTGAATCAAATTTCATCGCATGGAATCGGCGCGACTCACGTCGATTATGTTCGATTTTGCCGTTCAGTTTCCAGCCCCAACTTATCGCCTCTTTTGCTCGTTTACACTGGATCAGGGAAATCCGAAATTGGCGAAAGAACGTACCCAGTCGTATCATCTGGCCGGCACGAAAGCCACGCCGCGAACGTTTCCCGCAGTAATTATTTTGCTCTTAAAAGCACAGACGATATGTTTAAAGGCGGGTCGGAGCAAAGTAACAGCACCGGGGAAAAATTACGAGGACCTAGCGCTATCGGAACGACCGGTGAATGGCAAACACAAAAGGTAAAAAACGAGTAAAATCTAAGCATTTCCAATAAATTATTGGCCCGACTTACTTTCTTTCGCTCTATAAACCTTGAATCACAGGTGAGCGGAGTGAGAAACGGCGGGGCCAAAGGGAAAGATGCCGTGAGCTGGTCATTAACGGGCCAGAAGCAATATATTGACACAGATTCGCGTTCTCCTTACGAGAACCGTAAATATCTGGAATCACAGGTTCCACGTGGATGGGAACACGTCCAAAATATAGATCGCGTGAAACAGACGATCGTTAGCTCTAAGGACCTGCATGAATCTTTTGTCGAGCCCCTGGAATGGATCGACGATTTCGACAAAGACATAAGGGTCAGACTCAGCAGAAGCTTGAAAACCGTCGATTCGAACACGCTTGCATATATTGAATCTAGTACAACGAAATATGAAAAGAGTCCGGTTAATGGTTTCATCGATAGGGCTCCGATTGAAAATGGAACGACGTTAAAGACTGAAGATTCCACCAAGGTTGCCCTCGTTAGCCATCCGCCTTTAGATATTCAACAATTATTTCAAGATGATAGAAGAACGAAAAGGGAAGTTGGCACTCTTTATGATACGTATGACGATGACGAGGATCGACGTAATCGCGATTCCGAGAGAATGGACGACTATGATCTGTATTCGAGCGACAAAGAAAAGACGAGCGACAATTTTCAGCTATTAAACGCGTACGATGACACAGATGATGAGAATCAGGAGCTATTTAACTCGAAGGATGTCGAAGAGTATGACTATCTGGACTATGACGAGGACGATTACGGCGGCATTGTTAGAAACGCAGATTCAAAAAGAAAAGAACATGCCGTTAAGAAGAAGAGTTATGGGAAAGCGTTAAAAAAAAGGAAAAAGGAAGATCATGCCGCTAAGTCGGATAAGAATCGCAGAGAACGAAGACATCGCAAGAACAAAAAGATGACAACAAGAAAACGTGGTAAAAAACATAAAAAAGGTACGTCGAAGAATGGAAACCGTCATACTAACATTAAAAAGAGCAAAGTTACACAGGACGAAGAGAAAGCTCATAACGAAAGAGAGGAACATCACGATAGAATTAAAGAAGAAGATGTAAGTAATCGAGTGAGATTTTTTAAAAAATACGAACGATATAACAAGACATAGCGTGTAATTTAATTTAAAAGAAGGCTCGTCGATAATATCTTAGACGATGAATTTGGACAACGATATCCAGAGGAAAAAATTCTCCACGCTTTTGGTAGCTGATAACGTGGAAGACGAATCTCAAATGGATTCGGCTCTTCACGGTGAACTCGCTGCAAAGATCGTGGAACAAATTTTCGACCAGGTATTCAATATTTTCTATTACAATAGACACGCGCAGTCTACTTATTATATTTCTATGAAATCGTCAGATACAAAAGAACGAGGACCTGAAGGTATCGTTAGGTCCAGGTCTTTATCATAAACACAAAACTAGAGACACCATGGCAGCTGACAAATCGCATCGTCAGACCAACGATGACGACGAGGTAGATTCCTAATATTCTTGTAGTAATTCCCTTTAACACCTTGCAAACGCTTTATGCGTTTTACTCTGACAGATCAAACATACGCAAGAGTTGTTGAATAAGATCATGCTGCTTCTTAATCGACTGATCTTCGACGAGGTTCAGAGAAAGACTTGCATTTCTCTGCCATCCGATTTGCTCGATTTCTTGGACTGGATGTTAGAAGTGAATCCGCAAACAAATTTATTAGAACAAGTAACGCGTATTCTATTCGGATCTGACTTTACAAGTTAAATAATTCATGTCAAACGCTCGTTTACATCCAACATTCTCGATCGAACTTCGTTTCAGCCACCAGCGTTACCGTTGATACACGAGCAAGATAAAGATCATTTTCCACGGGACAAGTTCCTCTTTCAAAGTTTCCCAAACGAGCAACTCGAAGCTGAGATTAGCGAATTGTACGCAAAGATTCGATTGATAAAAAGTCTGATAAAGGAGTATAGCGGTCTGGCAGAAGACGATAAGGCGAAAATTAAATCAATTCAGGAGTATCTGGTTAGATTCTTAACTCTGGGGAGCACAGGCTCGAAATATAGCATCGAATCGTCTCAAGACTGAGACTCGCTACTCTACGCTATTCTTAAACCTACCACACCTTTTTCGACGAAGTCGAGTTTGTTATCTTTAAGAAATTATTTAGATCTCAGAGAAATATGGAAGAAGTGGTCGTTGATACTCGCGATGTCTCGTTTCGATTTTACGGGAAAAAATGTTTTTTTATGATTGAAAGTCTTTTTACACGTTGGAATTATCAACTCGAAATTTTCACCGTTATATGGCTAGTTTGTCCATTATTTCAGGCGAAGCAGCTAGATTTGATGCTGGAATATATTGAAGTGAAAGAGGAAGCTGAAAAAAACGGGAAATCTGCAAATGGAATAGCAGAAGGGAAAGGTGGGAAAAGCATTCCTCAGTATCAAGTAGGAATGAGTAACGCGAGTAATGCAAGTTATTCGACGAGACCAGATAGTTTTTCGCCTTTAATGAACGCGCCGAACCTCTTGAAACTGAGCAACACAAACTTGCTCACGAACGAACAACTTTTTCAAGAAAGTAAATCCCGTAACTTTGCGACGATTATACGATTCAACGTCGATTATTTCTATCTATAAACAGCCTTTGTACGCTTTAGACAGAATTGACGGTGCTCATAAAGGGAAAAGACTAACCAGGAGCCTGCATAAACATACAAAGCATAATAAAATGCCAAGAAAACGTAAAAACCGGAAAAGGAAGCACGGTAGGCATCGCAAAGGTGCAAGTACTATTGATCAGTCGCGACATAAGGATACTATGCATAAAGCTGCAGCTCTGCGTCAAAAACGTGAATATCTGGGCAAAGCCTTTTGGGATTCTTTCGATTCAGGATACGAGGAACCTTTAATTTACGACTCTATGGATATGGTGAACGTGGAATCGAATACGGACGGTATACGAGTGGTTAAGAAAGAGGAAAAGCTCAAAGACAAGGATGATAAGAAGTATGTGTCACATCGATAAGACGTAATTGGTAAATTGTGGATGATCACGTGCAATTCTATAGTTTTACGAGAGTAATTAGAGAAATGAAATGGAGATTTATTCGTGAGAGACACGCTGCGCAGTTTTGCGTTTTCAACCTTTTGTCATTAGTATCGCGTTCAATATCGCGATTAATTTATATTCGATAGATTAAACTGAAATCTGTTGGTAATTTGGCTATAGATATTTTTACTTCCGGAATTAATATGTTTCTCTTGAATTAAATTTCCATTTATTTTGCACGCTAAAAGTAAAAAGGAACGAAACGAGGTACAACGTCGAAAGAATGAAACTTACCATAATTGCGTAAACATCCGCGGTACAATAGTTAGCAAAACGTTAAATAACTTGTATTATTCTGATTTTATTTTTACATAAGTACAGTGCTCGATCTTGGAAAGAAAAGACGACAAACGATTTGAAAAAATATAACATAGAAGATCAGAAAGGGAGTATTAAAATTGAAGGAGATACATCAAAATCTCTTGCTAACGTCCAGTTTCGAGAACGAAAGGATTCTATCGAAGAAGACAAAGGTAACCTTGCAAAGATTGATAGAATTCATGAATCCGTAAAATCATCTCGATTATCGGGTATTATACAATCTACATTTTAATAAAATATATTAGTATACTATTGAGAACTATTAGAGGATCGATTTTATAGAAAAGATTTTCTCAAAACATTAAAAATCCTCTTCTTGTGAAATTTACACGTACAAAGTTCAAAAATTAAAGGATTAAGGGACGAACAAGATTAAAAGTCAACGTATGAGTAAAATATCTAATACAACGTGTAAGATTTCTTTGCTCTGATTTGCTCGGTTGGTGCGACAGAACCGATTGAAACGACGATCCTTTAATCGTCATTTCGAAAATTGTATTTGTCAATGTATTTTGTTGCATTTATTACACGCATCTTTGTCTCAGGCTTGATGGAAGAAGAAGAACCGATAACAGGCAAGGATCAACTAGAAGATGAAATATTGTTGCTCAATAAGCGACAAGCTTGGAAAATGAAAAACGAACAACAACTGGAAGAAGTTGCTTTCGGTGAAGATATGAGGAAATCATCGAAAGACAAAGAGCTGTACGAAAAATTGACCGAGATCGATAAGAAAATAAACGACGTGGATAAGACGGAAAGGAAAAATTGCAGTGTTAAGGATTACACGACGAATAATCCAAACAGCTGTAATTTATCAAACGAGGACAAGCTGAGGATGCTCGAAGAGAAGATAAATGTTTATGCGGATAATGAGCGAGAGGAGAAAGCGAGAGGTAAAAAGTGAAGGTGGAAGAGAAAGTTGCGAGAAGCCGAAGAAGTTGACAAGTTCACTAAGAATGAACTAGCAGCGATAAATTGCAAGATAAAGTGAAACGTTAAAGAGACGGACGTTAAAGAAGAACTCGGAGTTCGAAGAACAAACGACAAGGAAGATGCACTACAAGAGATTATGCAATTATATGGTAAATTTGCCAAGTTCTTTCGCAATACTATAATAAAGTTCCGTAAGGAAGTTCCTCGAAAAAGTTTTCTTTTCATTTGACGAAGATACGAAGATGACACAGCGCTAAGAGAAACGATTAGTCAAAGAAGATAGAAGATCAAACATTACGCTAACTCATCGCAAATGCAATAATAACGTGCACGACATAGTATTTAATTTTACACTTGTACGATATCATATTTAGAATAAATTTTATTAATAACAACTATCACGTTCTATAATTATCCTTCCACGTGTGTACATTGATAAACTATGGGAGAAAATATATGACTACATATAGTCTATTTATATATTTCCCAACTGATACGTAACATTGCAAAATGATATACGTATTTTTATATGTACGGTTGCTCGCTAAAGTATACTAATTTTTTCCTAAATACGTATTTATAGTAAATATTTTCTAACTTTTGTATATACCTTCACATTGATTTCAAGTTTTATCAATACGATTATGACTCGTTTCTTTTTTTTTTGATTGTGTCTCATTACGATGCTAGTAAAATTACAAAATGTTTTATCCAGCGCACGTAATATCCATACTCAAATTTTGCTAACGTTTACTACGGTAAATGTCGAAATATTTTTATCAGCCACTCTAGATTCTTAGCTGTATATTTGTTCTTTTCGCCCTCTCAGCAGTTTCATTTAATTATAGAACGCGTATATAAATAAAGCAATAACTAGACGACAATAGTGGACATTTATAGGTGGAGTAATTGTATTTGCGACACAATAGTGCTCAGCTGCGTAATATCGCGGCGAACCGGGATAGGTTCGCGTCGTTGCTTGACAGCGGGCGTCTAAATAATTTCATCAGATACATCGATCGCCGATGAGCTTTATCGTAATTGACACATTCGCTCTATCTGGCCGACAGGCGAGCCTGTGAAACCTCGTAAATCGTCCTGTCGTTGCGATGAACCCGACGGCCTCTCGTATGTTTGCACACGCGTACAACGCCCGTGTTAATCTATGTACGAAAACTGCTTAAAGCCGGCGATTACTATCACCTAATTGCTCTCTAAGAACAGATACGATTAATCAAGCAATAAACCCGTTCTGAATCAACAACATCATATCTTACCTTAAAGCGATCTTCCTTCCAGTTTACATTTATGCAACAGAAATTTAAATTAGTAGAATTTCAGGTATTTTTTCATAGGTAACGAAGTCTTTAGAATTTCATGTTCAACTTAACGCTGAAAAGCGAGTGAGAATACGCTTCGTCTTAACTTAAGATACATTTATAGAGTCAATTTTCGTCCCTTGTGACATAATCTTACAATTTCCTGCTTCTACAAATTTTGATTAAGGCCAGATATTTTACTGCTTTACTAACTTTTTTTACTTTCCTAACTTTTACCGCTTTACATTTACTTTACAAGTTTTTTTTTTATTAAAGAAGATATTAAAGACAAAGCGTATACAAGAAAATAATTGTGTACGTTTAATAAATACTTCCGTAAGAAATACGATCGAGTTAACACCGTCCATTTGCAAAGCAAATCGTATTTCTCTATCGTCAAAAAATTTCTCAAATTTCAGTAGAACATGAAAGAATCTCTCCGTTCGATTTTCTTAAAGCCTCGAAGGTTTCTACCCATCGAAACACAGGCTAGATTGGGATACTGAAATCCTATTGTAAGACAGTTCAAACACTTTGATAACCGCGTGTCCGACAATCCCAAGCAACGTTCCTCGATCATTTTCCTAACTCTTGCAGAACTTCGTATGATTCGGAAAAAAAGCGAATAACGAAACTTGGTTACCTGTTTCAACGATTTCATAATCCGGCTAGATCTAGCGCGAGTCCGACGGCAAAACTGATTAAATCTTGCCAAGGATGAAAAGAGTATATCTCATCGCGGTTGCTCGTACCTACTCTCTCTCTCTCTCTCTCTCTCTCTCTCTCTCTCTCTCTCTCCCTCTCTCTCTCTCTCTCTCTCTCTCTCTCTCTCTCTCTCTCTCTCTCTCTCTCTCTCTCTCTCTCTCTCTCTCTCTCTCTCTCTCTCTCTCTCTCTCTCTCTCTCTCTCTCTCTCTCTCTCTCTCTCTCTCTCTCTCTCTCTCTCTCTCTCTCTCTCTCTCTCTCTCTCTCTCTCTCTCTCTCTCTCTCTCTCTCTCTCTCTCTCTCTCTCTCTCTCTCTCTCTCTCTCTCTCTCTCTCTCTCTCTCTCTCTCTCTCTCTCTCTCTCTCTCTCTCTCTCTCTCTCTCTCTCTCTCTCTCTCTCTCTCTCTCTCTCTCTCTCTCTCTCTCTCTCTCTCTCTCTCTCTCTCTCTCTCTCTCTCTCTCTCTCTCTCTCTCTCTCTCTCTCTCTCTCTCTCTCTCTCTCTCTCTCTCTCTCTCTCTCTCTCTCTCTCTCTCTCTCTCTCTCTCTCTCTCTCTCTCTCTCTCTCTCTCTCTCTCTCTCTCTCTCTCTCTCTCTCTCTCCCCCCGTCTCCGAAACTCGCGATAGAAAAGAAGAAGAAAAGTATGCATTCTCTCGTCTCCCGGGGCACGAAATATCTCGAAAGTTTCCTCGTAAAGTAAGTCCACGCAGCGGAATTCCCCCGGGCCAATTAAATTCCCGAAATCGGACGCGCTCGCTTATGCAGGCAAGGGCAAGGTGGAATACGGAAAAGGGGAGAGAATCTAACCCCGTGGTTGGCGAACGTTATTACTTATTCGACTCAAGGATTTTAAGGGCGGCCGACACGCGGATTTATTTAGATATTCCAACGGTGAGCATCTGCTCGAGGTTCGACTGGATCTCGTCTGGCGTGCGTTTTCCTCGTCGTTTTCGCTCTTCTTTCGACCCGCATTAATATACACGGAGAACCGGCGTGTCTGCGATCGCACGGAAACCCCAGCTATTTTTACATAACATTAAGTTGTTCGTGTAACGGAGTGCTGGCCCTCAGTCGTACCGACGCTTTGGGTCACTAATGGGGGTTAAAACGCAGAGGCACAGCTACGACACCAGACGCGTAGACGCATCGAGAGAAATTTCACCGATCGACTTCCACCCTCTTCGACCGAACCACTTGCCCTTGCACGAGACGCGCGAAACTCTTTGGATCCGACGCGCGTCAAATTATTTATGATTATTTGTTTCGCGTACAGAACAAAATCAGAAATTTGCCCACGGGAAACGTGTAAAATTGCGCGAAGACACGCGTTACCTTTACATACCACAACGTTGCAGAAATGTTCGATTTTTGTAATTCAGTAAAATGTACGTGTATTTTCAACGATATTAACATGTTGCTGTATCGAGACAAAGACACGTAGTATTAGATATATTTATTTATTTCGCTGCGTTACTCTCGTACCAATCAACTATGCGTGACATATCAAAGGCAGTCTCGGTAGTCTCAACGTTCAAAAACGGAAGCGGAAAGCTGCTCCTTGTGCAATTGATACGTGTAATTAAAATCATTGGCAAATTGGCGACTCGCGTCTGCAGAGAGAGTCGGTGGATTTCGTAGTATCGGAACAGGTACGTTCGATGCGACGTGCAGAACAATTTTTAATGACGAGGAGAACCGTGATGTATTAATGCGGAGCTCGCTGGCTTTTAAAGGCGACCGATAGAATTTCACGCGGACGAAGAATGGAAGAACGACGGTGAACAATCATAAAAATGGAGGCACAGTTTCAAGTGAACATTCGGGATGTTCGGTAGCTGCGATAAGTACACATTGTTCGACGCATTGCACGGCGACGTCGGAGCTATCGTTAGTCACGCTTAACCACGTTTTTCGACGACGATCCCCATCGACGACCTCGATTTAGTGGCAACGATCGATCGATGACCGGAGTCAAATGCAAATCGCAGCCTCTTAATTGGAAAATGAATTCGACTACGGAGCACGATTATTCGCGAGAGCAGGACCGTCGGTGGAAACTAGTTTCAATACCCGTCGTACGCGTCGTTTACGCCAATTGTTTCGAGATGCAGAATTGTCCCGAGTCCCTGGATTAACTGGGTTTTACGGTCACGTCATTTAAGGAAACATTTTCGGCGTTTAGTACTCGTAACATTGTACTCGTGCTATCTACTAAACAAACTTGAGGCTTTTGTATGTTGAATCACCGAGCCCATGAAAATAGTACGTTTCAGTTCCTTCGTTTTTACAATGTTTAAACAAGATTGCTTTTGGCAAAATTAACCTCCGAATTTTTCGAACCAGAAAACCTTAGTCTCCCGCAAAGAGGTATTTTCTACAAATAAGTTTCTGCTTATAAATATTCTTTAAAATTTGTACGATTCTCGTAACTTTCTCGCATAATTCAACTAAATATAAGCAGAATCTCACGAGCCACAAAAATTTCTCTGGAGAATAGAATAACACGAAATTCTACCGATAACATTGTTCGACTTTGCGTATTCGTAATCAGATTTTGTCTTCTACCTCTTATCACTCGCAAAACTTCCAATCTTTTCATATAGAATAATTTTATAATTTACAAAATCCAATGTTTATACTGGCATATAATTCATAGAAATAGGCAAGGCTATTTCAAAATTTCAGTATATGAGAAAACTCGTTATCTCTTGAATTATTTATATCGCTCCTAAAAAACCGATACATTATGAAAGATATTCTTTGCCGTGTCATCTTCATGCATCGAAAGAAAGCTAAAAGAATGCTAAGAATAAGGAAGAAACAAGGGAAAAAACGACGGAAGAAAGAGAAGGCAGAGGTACGGAGTGAAAATCGTAATAAAGAGAGAGAGAGAGAGAGAGAAGTGGGTGGTGGTTGGTCGTTGGGATGGGGTCTGGCACGCACCCCCGAAT